GTAGGGAAAATCTGGGAGGTGAAAGGCATGCCTGCAAGTCCAAGCACACCACTATTTTGAGAAAGCCTTAAAATAAATAACTCAGCCTGCATTGTTTCTCAACAATCACTACATGTCTTAACATCTTGGAACAAGCCTTTGATCTTAAAGGATAATAATAAAACGCCACATATTTCCCACTCAAAATTTCAATTATTTCTTCAAAATATTAAGTAAATATCCATATGCAGACTGGCTATGCCCAAACATTCCTTAATCACTTTATGATCATAGAGGCCAAGATCTCCTACATGTGACACGCAAACTCTGTCCAAAGCAAAGAAAATCAGTGAAATAAAGAAATAATAACTGCTGATGAATAACATGGACGAGCTTCTAATCTAGAAAATATTTTACATAAGCTATATTATATTCATCTTGATGAACTTGACTGACTATGAGCCATAGCAAATTACTAATAAGTTTCATTGTATTTTAAGTTAATATAATTACCAAAACAAACATCGATCCCTGCATTACAAACAAACTCAAGGGTTTTTAGGCCCTCATCATAAGTCTTTGTTGTGATGATGTTGGGATAATATTCCCTTCAAAAGTGTCTAGGTTGTGATTATAGGCAGTGAGACCTGCCTTCTTGAATTCAACACTGTTTCTGAGGGTGCAAAAAACCTCCATCCCTATATCCCTACAAACACACTATAAGTGTTCTCATTTTTACCGAAGAGTTATACTTGTTTCATTTGAAAGGTAATAAATAAAACATTCAGCGTATTTTTCACTCACCACCAACCTTTTATTATGTATTATTATATTTAGCAAACAAATCTGAATAAGAAGACTTATCTTCCTAAGACTCGACAGTACTACTTGATAAATCTGACAAATAAAATGATGTCGCATTACCTTATGTCTTTCACATATTCAAGGATCTGGTTGAAGTTGGTCTATCTTCCTAGAGTATCCTTCGACACACACCCATACAAAAGCGAGTGCTCCTGGCTTCTTTTGTCAACATGAGAAGGATTCTCCATTCAAGAAAAAACATAGCACCACATGAGCAACAAGATGCGTGATTCTTTTTTTTTTTTTTTTTTTTTTTAAATTATGTTATGGTCATGTTGATTAGTTATTTTAGCGAACTTGGAAAGTTAAAGACTTCAAACTGAGTCTAAGACTGCATGCAAAAGAAAATAATTATGTGTTGTACTTGTTTTCCTTTTCAAGGAGGAGAAAGCATTACAATAATT